ACGCCATTCGGGTCGTGAATTAACAATTTCATTGATGCCGGCACCGGGGATCGAACTCAGATTGCTCGAGTATATTGAATTAAAGGCGAGCGTCGGGACACTCTTCACGGATGTACTAATTATATGCCCTTATATTTCTCCAATCTTCGGATGGTATATGTTGAATAAAGAAAAATATGAATTAAAGCTTTTACAGCACTAAATTCACTAGACCCGTTACAACAAAACGATGACTACTTATATTAAAAAACTGACTAGCAAAGATGAAAAATTGGTTTACATTCTAACAAAACTCCGAGGTCATCACGAAGTGATTCATAAATATCGAAGTGATTTCACACCGCCAGCGCATGTCGGCAGTGCTTAATGTAGGTTTAATAACTACCCTTTGGCGTCGGCAATAAAAGTATGAAACGAGTTGGTTACACAGAAATAATAAGTAACGTCAACGTTGGTTAAGATTTAGCGCTAACTTGGTTGATGTTTGAACAGTGCTTGCTGTTTGTTTCTACGCTTTGTTGAAACAACTTATACGTAATAAATTAAGGCAGTGACTTACAATAATTAGTGCTCTCTCTTCGAAGTATTGAATATTTTCTAAGAATATAAAAAAAATTGTCACCGGTCTACATCACTTTGAAGGTTTTGGAAAACTATATAATTGTTCTATAATTGTTCGATTGTTTTATGACTAGCAAATGACTGTGGTAGGGCCATGCAACTGCTTCTATATTGTATTATTGTAAGAATGGGCAGGTTTGGTCGTTGAAATACCTACCTACAGAACAGAAGACCTAACGGAAGACTAGCGTGAACTGGAAGTCTGGTGCATAAGTTAACCTGGGATCTCAGGTGGATCGTCTACTCACTTAGAATATTTTTAAATAATAAAATAATGCAGGAATAGTGATAATTATTTAATGTTGAAAGGAGACATAAAATTTATTATTATTGAATTATACAATACAACGTACACGCACGTCTGTCCTCCCTGCAGCAGGTCTGCCCGGGTAAGTACCACGACCTCATAGAAGATTGGCGTGAAGTAGAAATATAACACTTCTGCGTCTCGTCTGAGTAAGGTAGACGCCCACTTTATTAAAAGATGGCAACGCATCTGCAACCCTACGTGTGTTGCAAATGTCAATGGGTGGCGTTTGTCACGTAACATCATAGATAACATAAATCATTGATTGGACACGGAAACTTGATTGAAAAAGTCTCGAAAACTTCCTCTATTCGCATTTGCATTTCGCCTATCATATTATTTAGTAAATAGGCATTATTTAAATTTTTGAAATTGGCTCAGCAGCCCAAGACAAATTCAGACTTTAACTACACTTGACATGTTTCACCTAAAGCTCTCGCCTGACCGAAGCGTCATCAAAATTAAGAAGTAGGTCGCGAGCACGACGTCAAGAAGCTTAGAGTATCTGCTATAAGAAAGGGCTCACTTGTTTTTGTCATCAGGTTTTATACAAAAGATATGGTTCGTCAGGCCCCAAGAGCTCTTTCGAGCGATAAGTGTTGTTCTTTTAAAATAAAATAACAGTATAACAAAGACGGGGCCTATCGAGAACACAATAGAGTAGTGATCCATCTTTATAAAGCGTATGAAGCAAGCAATGTCTTCAATATTTTTTAAATTTACCGATATGATCTTTTACGTAAGACCTTTCATTTCAATTTTTGTACGTAAACGTTTAAAATTAAGGCGAAAGTAACCTTTGTTAAAGAACATAAAGTCATAATTTTTCACGAGAATTACGCATTTAATAACAATTTTTGTCTAATTACTTGGGAAGGGTATTAAAGGTTTCGCAAATTATAAGTTTTCAAAGAAGTTGTGGAGACAATTAAAAGTTTTCAACTTTGAAATTTCAGGAGCTCCTTTTTCAGTGAAGGTTCTCGTGTAATCTTATACCAACGCATAAACAGAGCGGACGGCCTTAGTTACTTCACTTTTCTCCCGTACAGCCATTCCCGTTCTTGAATAAATAAAGAGCTGATATTAAATGCATTTTTAGGGACCGGATTCTTCTCTGGGAATTATTAAAAGATCGTTTATGAGTAAACGTAGTAGATTAAAAAAAGGTACTAGCAAATCCGAAAATAAATATTTTCTGCCTATCAGTGTACACCTTATTCCCTGTGACTTAATTTTTTCGATCAAATTAGGTACAATGATGAAATTGCTGTGTTCGTCATTTGGTAAAACAGTATACGATTGGTAAAACGAAAGTGGTAAACGTATTTAGTTCTTTCCTGATTTCAATCTTAGCTGTAGCTATGAAACAAACATTTTGGAACGTGCCTTTTTGAAACTCAAATTTATCAGTATGACTCCGTGGCGCATTTGCCAAGTTATTGGCTTCGGCGTCGGGGGTCGTGGGTTCGATTCCCACACGGGAAAAATATTTGTGCGACCCACAGATAGTTGTTTCGCATCTGGGTGTTTGTCCTCGTGTAATTTATGTTTGTAAAACGTCCTTACAACACAGGATAATATTATCATAAAGTGAGGGCAATGTTTTTTAAATAAAAAAGAAAAAAGTATATTAAAAATGTATCTATATATATATATATATAATTATATTATAATTTATTTATATGTTTGTTAATAGTGTTAAAATTTTGAATAAATAAACATTTTGTTTAATTTATAGGATGATTTTTTTAATGTTCTTCGGCAATTTACAATCAAGTGTGCTCTAAGCTGTTTGTTGTAAACACTCTTTCAACTTACTTTTATTAACACATGTCATATCTAAACCTAAAAAACAAAACATATAATAACAAACCTTAACAAAAAAAACTTATAGTAGATAAATTTTAGAAGAAAAGACTAATTTCTAGAGGGTCTAGAGAGAATGCTAGATTATAATTATGAAAGTACTATATATGAGAGCTAGATATGAAACCATTTGGGTGTCTGGAAGTGGGTTTAAATTGAATGCAAAGTGAGTTTAAGTTCTTTAAAATTGCTAGATACATAACTTTGATTATGATTTGTGTGGGTTTGGGTAGTAAGTCCCAACGAACACTGCGACCAAGAAGACCTATTGTAGTCTTCTTTTATATGTGAGAAGGTGGCAAATGAGCAGGCCATTCACCTGATGTTAAGTGACAACCGCCGCCTATTGACATTTGCAACAGCCGTAGGGTTGCAGATGCGTTGCCACTTTAATAAAGTGGGCCCCCGCTGCTTCGCTCACCAGACGAAACGCAGAAGTATAACACTTCCAGTTCACGCCGGTCTTCTGTGAGGTCGTGGTACTCACCCGGACGGTCGACGACTGTTACGTGACCCTTCCATAGGTATATTCTCTGGAACATATAACTCACAAAGCATTCCCTAAAAAAAGAATTCTCTACAATCTCACTCAAGATAGCAGCAGGTTTATTAACTAACAATGTGTACACGCTCGAAGTTCAAATATCGGTTTGTAACGATTAGCGTTAATCCATTGATCGGTTTCGAGCAAACTGCAAAAGAAGTAAATTGATTGATCACGTGCTAACATTAGAAGCGATCTACACGCTTTTTAGGTTGACTTTGTGCTGGGTGATTTATGGATTTCTTTATAATCACGTAACTTGGTGGTTTGGATGGCTTGCTACCGTTTACTACTGCTTGTGTGGTTGAGGCTGAAATTTGTGTGAAACCAAATTGTTTTATTATTCACTTTTATCAGTACCTACTTTTAACGATTACAATTATTACGCCAAAAATAATAATTACTATGTTTTAGTTCATTTAAGTTTTGGCTGTAATTAGATAATAATAATAACGATTGTTGTGGTGGGACCGCGTAACAGATTATACTGTTATACAGGTAACAGATTATACTGGTAACCACAGTTCTATCTTTTAAAGGAAGGCATCGCATCTGCAATCTCTCAGATGTAATAATGTCCATGAGCGTCGATAATCACTCAATATCAAGTGAAACACATGTTCTTGCCAAATTTTACATAGCAAACTCTTACAACTTTCAATATTGAGCAATACTTTTATTTATCAACGTAAATTACGAGTTTTATAAGCGTGAATTTTGATGTTTGAAAAACAAAACAATTCTTAATCCGTAAATGTGGATGGCAATGAGGGTGAATAAATCTTATCTTCTAATACGAATGTTGGAAGGCTTTATTGCCCTCAGAAATGTATTTCCGTCTACCGCACGATGGTATATGTAATTATACCTACAACATGAATCAATGCTTTCACATTTTTTTACATTATATCAGTTGTTTTACTTGATTAATACGCGCCTTTAAATATCATTTTAGTAAGGATTTCTCACAAAGTTATGCACAGTTATAAATGTACTTAAAATTGAAAAGAAAAGGTGAACAAATCAGATTTTGAGTAATTTACATAAATAAAGTTTCTTGGTTTATAATAATTGATACATAGTTTATTTATGTTTGTAAAGTTTTTTTTTTTAATTTAAATTAAAAGTAATTGAAGGATATAAGATGTTTTCAGTTTAGTAGCAGTAGGTCGAACCGGATAAGTCGATAAAAAATGTTATTCAGGTAACATAGTTCTTATAGTTTGCCTCGATTGGAAGCGAAACTTTAAGCACTTCAAAGAATTCTTTTGCTTTCAATCAAGAATGTGAAATTTAATGTATCTGTGCTTTACATCTTACGTATATAATAATAACAATTATTATTATTCTTGTGATATCACACTAAAAATCTACAAGTGTATCATTAATTAATTTTAAAACCACGCGAGACAATGCAATTGTTAATAAAGTAATAATTTGCGCAAAACTCGTGGCCAACTTTCGGGCATACGCCGAGAAATTAACTGCGTAAATGACGTCACCTTTTAATAAAGAACGAAAAGCGTACGAATTTATGTGGTCGGGCGACAAACAGAACCGCGTTCGGGACGGTCGTCGCCAAACCCGTAATCCCTAAACATGGCACGTTTACCGTTTATGCACGATTAAAAAGAAAAACAGCACGCACGCACACACACGTCACTCGAGCGCGGGGACCGCTTCGCGAATTTCGCGCGATTCTAAATTCAAATATTCGAACACGAACGGGCTGAGGCGAGCGCGGGCGCTGTGTGCGCGATGCTGCCGCCGCGCCGCCTCTGCCTCGACTGACGGCATGGAAATTCGATTTTTCTGACGTTTCCACCGCGCCTTGCCTCGACACGATCGAACCGCACGCCGTACTAACCCGCCCGCCACTGATTTTGCACGTCCGCTCACCGTAATGCCGGCCGACGTTTTATGGCGCTTTTGACGAAACCCGACAGAACTGTGCAGGGTCCGAACACGCGACGCTGATCGAAATCCGATGTGGGAGCAATATGTGTACGCTCTCAGTGTTTTCATCTAATGTTATGCGTTAAGAATTCTCGAATACAGAACGGTCAGCAAATTTGCAAATCCATAGTAATAGTATAAATTTGAAAGTAACTCTGTCTGTCTGTCAGTCTCGCTTTCACTCCAAAATTACTGAATCAATTTAAATGAAATTTGGTACACAAATAGTCTAGAGCCTGAGAAAGGACATAGGCTATTTTTTAATTACAAAAAAGTGTTGTTAAGGGTTGAAAGATATTTATTTACGAGCATCAACGCGAACGAAGCCGCGGGCGAAAAGCTAGTTTATATGTTTTGAAGTTCAATAAAGATTTAAATAAATAATAGAATAATAATACCTCATAATTATTAATAAATGAAACCACCTTAGAATGTTATTAAAAACATTGTAGTTAAGACAATATGGAAAGAGTTTGTTAATCGCTAGGAATATAGATAGGAGAATAGCAAAACGGGCGTTCATTTTCACGTGTTGCTTCCTGCCTTCTCTGAGTCACAAGTATGATACTTGTTCGGGATTTTATTTTAAATATATTATTATTTTGAACATGCACGTGTTTTATTTACATTACCTTTTTAAATTACTTTTTGTTGTTTAATTGCATTTATTAAGTTCGACTGTATTGATAAAAAGTATTTAGACAACAATACTATAGGGGATACTTTGACACGAGAAGTAGGATGTAGGAAGGACCTCATGGTTAAAGGCATACTCCTGATCCAAAAATAAAACCAATAATAAATATAAAGTGACATTTTACGTGCGTACATCTCACGTTTGGCGTAGTGGCTGTGTATATCTGCTAACGTGTCGCGGGTTCGATTTCCGCACAGATCAAGTATTTTTATCACCTACAGATAATTGTTTCGAAGGTGTTTGTATATGTCAAATTTATATCTGTAAACGCACGCACGGCTCATTAGAATAGTTTTTTCAAGTTTTTGAATAATATTTCAGAATAAATTCTTCCATAGTGTGGGACAAAATAAAATAAAGAATGAACCTTCCCTTCGATTTGAACTTCTTTATTTATTGTGCCGTCAGTATAACTGCTAAAGGGCCCTGTCAAACTACTTATGTTATTTCGTAAGGGTGAGGTATATGGAGCAAACCGGATTAAGCCCAGACCACAAGCTCATTGTGGAATAACGATCACTTTGTGGATTATGTCTTGGGATGGGCAATGAAAATTTATTTGTTTCTTCTTTTTATGTGTCGTTGTGTCAAAGACGATAAGGTTAATTAGTCATAAATGGTGATTTTAATCTTAAAACGTTGAAATATTATTACATCATCGTATGGTCGTATTGTATGAATTTAGTTGAATTTCCATAAAAATAAAACACATCCATTATGACATAAATCTGTAAATGGTGATGAATATATATATATATATATATATATATATATATATATATATTTCAAGCCTCCTTAAGTCCTTCGGTTCTTTTAAGTTTTGTTACAGAAAGTAATTTGACGAGAGACTGTTCTCAACTGACCGCTTCCGAGCAATATTAAAGCTTAAAGCAACAAAATAGACCGCGAACAATGAAAAGCTACACAATGGTAGGCTATGAATCGCTTGAAAAATAGTCGAGATCCGGTGAATCCATTTTAATTATTTATATAATCTAAATAAGTTGTATTAAAATTCTATATGTGTGTATATGTTTTCAGTATTTGATGTAACATATTCATATAGTCTACCTTTTTTTATATCTTTCAAAGAAGGTACAATAATGTTCTAACCTAATCAGTAACAGTAGGTACTGTCCAACTTAAGGTTGACTGGGATATAATACCTTTAGCAAAAATTAAATAAATATGTCAAACTAGCTGCTGCCCGCGACTACGTTTGCGTGGAATAATCTGAAAGCGTAACATTCAGGCAGAAAGACAGATAAACATAAAAATATGTATATAAATTATAGCTTGTCTTATTCTGATGTATAAGCTATATTATTGTAAATTTTCATTAAAATCCATTCAGCAGTATTTGCGTGAAAGAGTAACAAACATCCATCCATACATACAAACTTTCGCCTAAAATGAATAAGGATTAGTAAGGATAGAAGTACAATAAAGACATGTCATAAACATACATTTATATTTACTTTGAAAGTTTCTGATGCCAAGCTACGTTTTTAAAATGCTTTCTTCTATAAAAAAATTATGTTATTTTTTTTATTTTGTTAACTTTCTTATTCCTTAATTTTGTAGCCTTCGTCTTCGAGAAAAATGGTTTCTTATATTCGGCGATAAATAACTTTAAAATACAGACAAATTTTTTCGCATCACTGATATAAACAACTTGCTACGAACATTTGGCAAAGAACAAACTTTCAGTACTGAAACAGAAAACGTTTTTGGATGTAGTTGCATACTGAATGGATGTTTTAAAATATTTACATACATTAAAACGCTTTTATTTTTCATTTTGGCATAAATTTTTCGTTCGAATTTTAATTTTGAATCTATGATTGCGAGAAGCGGTTGATCATGATATCCATTACTACATAATATTTCATTTCTAGATACACAGAGCTTGTTTTTAATTTATTGTGTTGTGTATAATCAACGATCTGTTTATCAGCGATTTATTTTATTTTATATTTTATTTATATTTCATGTACACAGATAAATATGACAAAAATGTAATTACATGTAAGGATTTGAACAACAACCCGACCCGTACACAAAGGCGATTATGGTTACCTATAAAATAGTATTATGTATATATTTTCCCCACCTTATTTATATAAAATATTACTGCTGATTTGTAAGGTAAAACTATGACAGAGTAATATTTAATTTTTACTAAGTTGATATAAACATAGATAAGTAAAGTAAGGCATAATTTCTGAAGTATTCAGTTATGAAATAAAATAACTTTAACCTAAAAAACTCACTATCTTGCGATGTTTCAGCCTAACTAGGCAGCGATGTAGCGTCCTAGATTTTGCATCCAACCTTTCCATTGTCTGAAAAGATCCGCCCTCGGTTGCGAGGCATGTGGAGGTCGCGAGGTAGCTGAATTAAAACCGCCGCTTCGCAAAGCGTTATGAATTACAATTTTTGCGCCACTTAACGTCCGCAAAGACTGACAATTTCATTCTTTGCAACATAATCAGAGCGCTTACTATAGGTAGTATTTATGCCTAGAGTATAATGTGACTCGATTATTATTTAGGAATGAAATGCTTGCATATTTTTAATAGAATAACCGCTTATATATGTCCCATTGCTGCTGCATGATAGCTTAGTGTTCGGGCGCTCGCCTTTGATTCAATATAATCGACCTGAGTTCAATCCCGAGTGCCGGCAACAAAGCAAATTCACGCACTTAAAATCAGTTTTAAGTGCTGACTTATCACGTGCTCAGCGGTGAAGGAAACGTCGGGAGGAAACTTGCATAATTTCGAAATATTCCAAAGATATGTGAAGTCCGTCAATCGGCAGTGGGGCTGCATGCTAGTTGGACTATGCCTTAAATAACTCTCTGTACAGCTAAGTTCTTTCAATAGGCAGGTTTCGTCACGATGATTTCCTCCAACCCTAGGCGCGATATAAATCAACGCTAAAAATTGAAATCAACAATTAATTGTTATCGGCGCCGGGATTTGAACTAAGGTTGCTCGAGTGTAAATTAAAAGCCAGCGCCCAAACACTGAGCTACAATGGCTAATATTTTTGGTAAGAACTTAATTTTTAGAGCATGTTTTACAAATAACGGCAAATTAACTTCCGGCGTAAAAAGGGGTAACTGTAATATATTGGTATGTAAGGAGTCTATTATACTAACAATAGTCCTTGATACGAAGCCACTTGCACCTATTTGGCAAATGTCCAATACAGCCGCGCGTCCCTCAAGCCACGATTACTAGGTTTGCGTTGACGTAAAATAAAATGATTTATCGCTCTATTTTGCATATGACCATCCCTATGATATTTCTGCAGCACTTCTCACCATTTTAATATATAGCGAAAGCGGAAAATTTTGACGAATTGTTTTTAACTATAATAAATTATTATTTTGAAATGCTTTAACGTTATACGGCTATGAAAATGTCAATAAAGAACACACATTAAAAGTACATAAGTCATGTATGTATATTCCAACTTTGGGTTCAACAACTTAAATGCGCTACTGTACACAAATTTAGTTAGTGTTTATGATTATTTTATTAATAGCAGTAGAATTTGATGGATTTAAATATAGAAATACAATTGATGTAGTCGTATTTCATGAATTAAGATATTCAAATTCAAATTTGTAGAAAAAACGGGCCAAGTGAGGATAGGACTCGCTCACGAAGAGTTCCGTATCATTATCTAAAAAAATGGAAAAAAATCATGTCTGTTGTAGTGAAAATTTTAACTGTCTAACTATCACGGTTCATTTAGGTGACAGGCGGAAAGACAAATAGACAGACAGACTGCGGACAGATATTCTTAGTAATAGAATAAGACCCTATTACAAAGACGTTTTACCCTTTGGGTATGGAACCCTAAAGATGGCCGATAAGTTTTCTGCATTTTAAGCAACGCTGGTCATCGTAGAGTAAGACAACCCCCCTCCCCCCCGCCTCTATTAAATGGATTGACGACCTGTGCAAATATGCGTGAAGTCGATGGATGCAGGTGGCTCAGGATCGTACTCCGTGGCAGGCTGAGGCGCAGGTCGATGTTTAGCAGTGGACTCAAACAGGCTGAAATGATGGTGATTATGAAGCAATCCTTGGGGCAACTATTGACGTGGGTTCGATTCCTACAGCGGCGATAAATTTTTAATCCATCTTATCCACAAATTCTACATCTAACTACTAATCTCTGCGCTTAAAAGTTTAATACTATAAAAATGTAAAGTACTAATATGTATTTAATATAAATAGACTATGTTACTACAATAAAAACCTTTGACGCAATGTAATGGAATAAATACTGGACGAAACTCGACCACAATTCCCCCTCTTAAGGAAAAAAATTAAATATTACATTACTGACGTAA